TTTGAAGGATTAGTCTAGAGATTCCTACTACGGGAAAGGATATATACCAACGGCGGCGAGAATACTTTGAGGGCCCAACTAGGATGGTATCTGTATTACCCAGTATTGTTGACCAGTTGCAGAATGTCTACATTCTTTGGCGTATCGATGAATCAACTTGCAGGAAAGCACTGTGAAGTCATTAATGTAGCAGAACTGCACTCATTTCAGATCATATATGGAAATAATTTGCATAATAATCATTGTAAATGGCGTTTTCGTCTCTTTCTTCCAGTGCCAGTATTTGAGACGTTTTGTTTGCATTTAGATTAAGAACCTTACAGAGATTCCCGTGCAAAGTTTAAAAGATACATTGATCTGTCTCGAAGAGGGCTGCAGAAACCGTAGTCAGGCACAGACAGCCATGAATTTAAAGTCATCGAGGTCTCACGCAATTTTTATACTGAATTTGAACAAAACGGCTGCTGACGAAAGGTAAGCGCACATTCTGGCATATCTAACACTGTCAGTCTGATTTTGTTCAGTACGTCGGTCAAAGCTCGATTAAATTTGGTTGACTTGGCTGGTAGTGAACGTCTGAAAAAGACATTGGCTGAGGGTGACCGTTTGAAAGAAGGTAAAGTTTGTTCGGTGTCAGAAATAATGCACGCTCGTTTCAACAGTGTTGATTATGTTTGTTGCTTTTGCAAAATTATAATTACACTGAGCACCTGAGTTGTGGTGGCATAGTGTCCAAGTGGTTATCATTAAATTCCGCAGGTGCCCGGTTCGAATCCTTTCAAGGAACTATCTTTGTCTTTACCCCGAATTCACTTGAGCAAGGAATTAACCCCACGTTGCTTTGGCGCAACTAACCGAAAAATGAGTGGTTAGTCGGCGAATTGCGAATGATAAGAACATAGCGGTATTCTGGTCTGGTTATGGCATATGGCAGAACAGACGATTTGTATGGCCTTGCAGTATGTTGCAAGTGCCTCTTCTAGCTACATTTCGCCTTGACCCACCTGACAGCTGATCAGTCGATGTAATAATCATTACCACGCGTAACCCTGATTTCAATTTCAAAATCGGAATTGATGACTTGAAACTTTAATATCTCCTTCCTTCCTCGGGACTTTCGTTCTCCAGAAATTTCTCATTTAGCTATGTGTTTCTTGAAGTTTCCATTGGTGCTTTTACGGAGATGACTTCTGTATCACTTCCTCAAATACTTATGCACTTTTTACTGACTTTTCTCGTATACGTTCTTACACGTTGACGAGAACCGCCAATCCTTACGATGGTTTGCGGTGTATCCGTAGCTTTGTGGAAATGCCTTGTCTGAAGGAAATATAGGAATTTCTTACTGTTCAATTGACGCTAACAATTCACACAGGGTAACTGCTGTTGTTTTTATTAACCCTAGCAAATTCTGCACCTATTATCGTTAGAGCTAAGGTGATGCAGTAATTGTTCGTAAAAGGTATCATGTTCATAACTGAACTGAGGAGCATTTTGTTTTGTTCACTGAGTAGATGACTTGAGGACTTCATGTTGCTCCCTTCCAAAAAATGCAAGTCATCAATTCCAAAACAATTTGTCTGTGGTAACAGCCAGATTAGTTAGCACGTCTTTCTAAGTAGATCCATCTTCACAAGTAGATTCGTTAGCTTGTTACCTGTTATCCATAGGTCTGATCCTTTAGATCTGTTACTCTTTCCTCGATATCTTATCTTTTTTCTCTTCCTGATTATGAGAATATTCTTTGCTGTAATTCAATGTGCAAATTGAAGCAAATCCAAATTTCCTTGATGCCTCTTCAAGAGATTGAAGACTTTGAATATAAAATCTAATCTCGCTGTCGTAATTTTTTTAAGGAATCAAGATCAATGAAGGCCTACTAGCCCTTGGCAATGTCATAGCAGCATTGATTGATCACTCTTCGACCAAAGCGCACATCCCCTATCGAGACTCAAAGCTGACCAGGCTGCTACAAGGTACGATTAATTATGAAACGTCCTTGACAATTTGACTCAGTTCAGAATACACCTTGAGCCGTAGTGGCTGGCTTTAAAGCGAACAAATGTTTTGCATAGCAGCTCCTGGAGGAG